AACCAAATTTACATTATTTCAAAGGACCCAAAAATAGTACTATGAAAGTACTCAGTACCACCCTCTTTCACAGATGAAATAGTAAAGGTTATATATAGTCAAATGCCTCAGGGTCCACATTCATCAGTATCAAAGAAACTGACTCAAAGACAGGTTATCAAACTTCAAACTAAACTCCAGAGTTCTCACCATCACAGTCTTCAATACATATTGTCACACACACACACACAGAGAGATACACACACAGACACACTAAATCTATGTATGTCTAAGGAAGAATCACTCCTACTCTCTTCTGAAACAATGAAAAAGCACTAATTGAAAAAGAATTAAAGGATACCATAGTTTGCGTTTTAAAAGACATGTTTTTAATTCTTTCTGGGTAATCCAGTGAAGTTAAAAGAGTAGGAATATGAAGTTAGAAATAAAAGATGACCATCTGCATAAAGTTCATTTTAATTACTCTGTTTAAAAATTAAGAATATGGAAAACAAAATCCAAAAGTCAGTGACAACATTAGAAAGAAACATATTATCCTGGAAGGATACATAAGGCACCAGTAATACAATTAATTATCCCTGAAGAAGACAAGTTGGTGACAATACGGTGACAACAAGGATAGGAAAGAGACATTTTTCCACTGTAAAATCTGTGGCTAAATTTTTAAACATGTACACACATACCACCTTATGTTTTTAAGGAACATACTTTTTGAATGAAGAAACAGGTATAACTATGCATTTTTCAAAAGAAATTAAGAAAATGAAAATATAATTGCCCTTTAATAGGGCAGTGAAAAACTGACCACAAACGGTAAAACACTAAAGACTAGAATAACTGAAGTATTGCCAAAAAGTGCTATATAAACATTTAACTGTGTTGGCTGTAAAAGTAGTGTTTTCATACTTTATGTTTTATATAAAAAATATTAGGAAAACTGAAATGAGCATCAGAAATTTTTGGCTATATTCCTGATTGTTACCTTAAGGATGACAAATCAAAAATGTGATTACACTGTCTAAGTGTCACCTTAGGAAAGCCCTTATAATTTATGCTGATGAAAACGAACTGTGCATTCCCATACATTTATTGAATTGCCATTTTAGACCTCAGAGCCTTATGCTTTTAAGTTTACTGTTTCCATCCCCACTGCAGTTTGGGTTTGCTTTATGACAGATAATATGCACTGAAAGCCATTTTTACTTCTGATTCATTACCTTAAATATCAATTGACATTCCGATTTTATGACAGGTATCTTTCATTTCTCAGTCTTAAAAATGTTTGAGATGTAAAAGCTTCATGAAACTTTTTTTGTGCTTTTCAGCTCATTGCAGCTTAAGAGGTTAATAGTTTCTACCCATGAATCACTGTCACCACATACAACAGTGGAAGGAAGTCATGACACCTACAGTAACTGCAGATGCTATCCCTTCATAGACAAAGCTATGAAGGCAGAGTCATTATGTGAGGTGGGGGGAGGGACATAAAGCCAGGCCTGTGGTTTCCTTACACTGAGTCCCACTCTAACATCAGGTGTTAAAAACTCTGTGAAGAGTCAACAAAACAGGTATTTTAACAGAAAATAATTGCCATTTTTAAAAATTGAGTAATTTGTTTCATGTTCATCAGTTGAACTTATTTGTATTTTTAGGTTTGTAAAACCTTAAAGTACTTTATGAACAGCTACAATTTTAAGTAAGTAGGCTTATGGTAAGTTCATTTTGTATAAAATGTTTTAGATAATTTTGTTTTAACTATGGTTTGGATTTATGCATAATGGATCCTTTCCACCCCCATAGTTGACTAAACATTTAAGGACATTTAGCAGTTAAGAAGTAACTAATAATCTGACACGATATAACTGTTTGACTAAAAACAAACTTTATAAAATATATAGCACCAAACCACAGTGTAAGAAGCTTAAATTTTTTGACAACCAATATTAACAAATTCATATTTCTTGCAGTAATTTAAAAAACTCACCAAATTAGACAAGTAAGTTTCTAAGCTCCAAGGAACTTTTGATAGTAAAAAAAAGACAATAGAAAACTACTTCACTTTCATTTCTCAGGACAAAGGTTAGAAAAAAATTTTTTTCAAGATGAAAAGCCCTAGAACATGAAAGACCAGCTATAAAAAGAAGAATGGAAAACAAGGAAAAGAAATTTGACTAGGATGACCTCCATGGTTTAAATACCCATGTCTATATATTTCAATCATCAGGTTGCTACCTACTTATCTCCTCAAAGGACACTATTTGCAAACTCTACTCTCAGGCTCTGCTCTGTCAATAATCTCAGTGCCAAGGCAATTTGAGCCTTAGATGAAGCTGTGCAAAACCATGGCTCCAGTTCTTCTTGGCTCACACAGCTCCCTTTGATGAAGGAGATAATGTACTAACTGGTCTCCCTGACTCCACACTTGACAGTCTCACAACGATTTTCCTCCCTAGAGCCAGATGCTGTACTCAAAATCAACCAGACTTAGAAGTCTTTACTAAAACTCCTCAACGCCTTCACCCTCCCCCAGCCACACTCAGTCACTGTGAACTCCTGCAGCAGCATGCTGGGCTTCCTCAGGACCTACACAGTCCCGCTCCTGCCATTTCCTGCCTCCCACTTCACAGTCCCAGGACAACTGCCACACTCTCAATTCCACAGCACAACTCTGGATGAAGCAGACTTCTGTCTAAATGCCTCCTTTACATCCATCAAGATTCAGTCCAGGCACCAATCTTTCTCCAGGAGGAAACTGTCAACAGCCACAAAGAAGGCAAAGCTCCTCTCCTTTGGACACAGCTCCCTGAGCATACATCTTTCCTAACACCCACTGCACCTTATAAAATTCTTTTTTTATTTTTTAAAGTTTATCCCCCTTACTAGAAAGCAAGCAACTCAGAAGTAAAGACTGCATTTTAACTCCAAGAAGGAAGAGCACATTGCACATGTAGTGAGTATTTAGTACCTGTTCATCAAACTGAAATACCAGATGTTATACAATGAAAATTTAACAAACACAGCTTGACTTAGTTCCTTAGCCAATTCATTACCAAGTACTTTCAGTTCCACTTCTATCCAAATCTGACCACTTTGACTTAGCACAGCTCCCATGACAGTCCAGCCTCCAGCCTCTCAGACTACTTAACAGCCTACTGATTTCCCTGCTTCCAGACCCACCACCCAGTCTATCACACACACACACACACACACACACCACTATCCCCCACCACTTGTCTCGGCAGTCAGTGACCTCTGAAAAATGTAAATATAAAAAATCCTTTAAAAAATTAATTTACAAATAAATAAGTAACCAGGATGTAATGTATAGCATAAGGAATATAGTCAAAATATTGTAACAACTCTGTATTGTGATAGGTGGTAGCTAGAATTATCATGTATATAAATGTTGAATCACTGTGTTGTACACCTGAAACTAATGTAATACTGTGTGCCAACTACCCCTCAATAAAAAAAATAATAATAATTTACAATGCTGATGGACAGTGACTGTGAAGGGGTATATGGGGGGGCTGAAGGGGGGAGCCTAGTAAACATAATATTCTTCATGTAATTGTAGATTAATGATACCAAAATAAAATAAAAATTAATTTACATAAAAAATTGCTATTATATTTACTATAAAATTCAAATTCCCAGAGCACCCTATGATGCCCTATATGATCTGACTCCTTCCAAGTTTTGTACTCATTTTGCATTATTGCATCTATACTGTGATTTTAGATCATCCGAAACAACAAGCTACTTCCCACCTCAGCATCTTTACACTGGCTCTTTTCTCTGCCAAGACCTCCTTCCTTGGCTAGCTGCTACTTCTCAAAGCTCAACTTAAGTGTCACAATCCAATCCAAAGCAGCTTTTTTATCCCTCAGTCACTGCCTTCTTCGCACTCATTACCATCTCAAATTATATGAATTTGTCCACTTGTTTACTGTGTACATCTATCTCTCAGGAGGGCAGGAAATTTGTGTTTTGTTCATACTTTGCCTAGAAACAGTGTCTTGCACACAGCAGGCACTCATAAGCATTTGTAAAACAAAAGATTAAACCAAGAAAAGTGACTCTTATTTAAGATATACATGAAACAAGTAAGGTAAAAGAAATGGATTATCTACCAAACAAGGCAGAAAACATTCTACTATTGGTATTTACAAGTAAATAGGCTGGTGTTACTGGTGTCTATTAATCAGCAGGCATCCAATGTGTATTTCCCAAAGCTCAGTGGAAACATGTCAGGTAGAATTGTTTCACATGCTACATGCTAGCTAGTCTACATGTATGACTCTGATATCATTTTAGAAAATGTTATATTGACACTCCCAAAAAACCTGTAATGCATACAAATAGTAGTGAAACACTTAAAAACCACCAGCTACTTTATTTTTAAAAAATAGTCTTTCTGACGGTGGTACTTATCTGTAAATTACTAAATTTACACTAATAGAACTTCAACCTCTTCATAAATAGTTCCTTGCAATAGAAGACCTGTGCAACTAAGAAGCTGCCTCCTCTTTTGTTCTTTCTTGGAAGTAATGCTACAACTCAAACAAAAACTATATAAAATTCATCAGTGTTTGCAGTCTCTGTTAACTCCTTACTGACTGAAGTTTTGACCAATGGGGGAAAAAACTATCAATCACTAGTGATAGAAAAAGCTTTGAATCTTTATTCAAATGTCATTAAATCACAGAAATTAGGATAACATGGAGATAAATGAAAATATATAGATCAAACTTTGCAACCTAAGTATTTTATTTTACTGGAGTAAACCTTCTCCCTGTTCAAGTAAATATTTTATAAAATAAACAAGTCTTAACTAGTCAAGCAAAATTAATATGACAGGTTAAAAATAGCTGTCATATTTTAATAATCACTATTTACAGGTGACTTGAAAGTAATAAAATTTCAGTGACTGTACTTCAGAGTCCTTTAAGCAATTTTCAACAGTGTGACCATCAAATTTCGGATCTATCAACACTTACCTTGGTATGGTGACACATTTAGTATTACAGTTTTGGGTAGTGATGGCTTTCTCAAGCTCATCTAATCGTCCCGTTTTCTTTAGCTTCTTCACCAAACTTTTAACTGCTTTCTCACACCACTTTTCTTCCTGTCCATTCTGCTCTCCTCCACCTGCTCCTCCAGATCCACCAGCTGATTTCTTCCATCCCAGCAGTCTCTTCACAACTGGTGGAGTGAATGGCAAGATGGACGACATGTTCTTACCAAAGGCAGCAATCCACACTAAGAAAATACTCTCCTTTATCTAACCTAGGAGAGATACAGAGAATATTTAGAGGCTAACTTTCAAATCAAGTGATAATTTCAACATAATATTGAAAGCAAATTACAAAATGAAATAGAAATTCAAATTATTACTTTCACAACGGACTTTCAGACACAACAGACTTTCAGAAGTTATTTTTTTCACCCATCTAAAAATGGTACAGTGCCCTTGAAAAACTGGCCAAGTTTCTAAAAAGTTAAAACTTTAACTACCCTTTATCATAATTCCACTCCTACACAGTCAAGAAAAATGAAAACTTATGTCCACAAAGCAACTTGCATAAGAATGTTGACAGCAGCCATATTCACAAGTCAAAACTGGAAACAGCCCTAGTATCAAGAATACTAAACAAACAGTTGTGGTATATTCATACAAAGGAATACTGCTCCAGAACAAAAAATGAGTGGGCTACTAAATTTCATACATTTATTTGGCCATGGAAACCCTTAATTTAAAGGGCATCTCATTGCTGCCCTGGTACCCTTTATAGTCCAGCTGTGGTTGAAACACTAACAACTGGAAGGAGCCAATATGTGACTTTCTTTAGCAGTACAGAAACGGTGGGAAAGTGAGGTTTGCTCAGTTAGGCAATTGTAAGGTAAGAATTGACAGCAGCCCTGTTAAGCTGTCTACAGTGGTAGACTCTGTCACACACATAAATAAGCACTACAGCATATACAACTACAACTTGACAGAACAAAGCAAACACAACTAAACTCCATCAAACACATGTAATAATCCAACAAAGCAGGCGTCTGGGACTACCAGGCAGCTAAAGGTACACTTGGCTACCTTTGGCTTCTGCTTAATTCCTATTCTGTGCTGTAAGGGAGCCACCTATATAAACCTCAATACCATGTGACAGTCTTATCTGACCGCAGAGGACATGCTTATTAACACAACCTTTGGAAGGGAGAGGTATCGCAAAAGCGACAGGAGAGCAGAACTCTGAGGAGAGTACAACAGGCAGAAAGTTCAGCATGTTTTCTACAGAAAGGCAATGTTTTAGGAGTTACAGCCCAGGTTTAAAAGCTGCAAACAAGAAATTGCTACTGATAAAAGTATTAGTTATTTTAGATACAGTTCGTGTACATTATGGACCAACTGGACGTGGACAGTTTAGGGAAAAGGAGAATTCAAAGGTACTGCTGCTAACTAATGGAACTGAGCAGCAAATGATGCACTAATTACTATTTGGAACACAGAGAAGCAAATCTGATCAGGAATAAGGTTTCAAGGTTAGTATTATCCATGCCTTTATACATGTAACCGTGTTCATCACATGATCAGGAAGCACCAGAGAATATGAGAGAGGGTAGCGCCCAAGCAAGGCAGAGACAACTACTCTTGCAGAAAAGCAGAGCAGCCAGTCTCTAACGCATGGTTCCCAGGACTCTCCAGGTCCTGCTGATGTCCATACCAATTTTATCTTTAGAACAAAATTCTTTGAGTTACATGAGGAGATCTCTGTTCCTTGTACAAAACTGATAGAACAAGCAAAATATAACAAGAATCTATCTTTAAGTATCTACACCTTTGGTTCAATCAATCCATCCAGGAGAATTCAGCCTAAGAAAACAAATAGAAAGTAAATCTTTACATAACCAGACAAAAGGAAAGGGTTTCCCAGGGTAGGAAGAATCTGAGTATTCTGTTACACTTTTGTTAGGATAAATGTTCCTTATGAGTTGAGATGTAGTCTTGGGGATCTAAAAGTCTATAAAACCATTTTATTTTCTTCATGGAAATGAACACATGAAAAGTTTAAATCTATTCTGGGTCATCTGAATGACCTCATGACCTAGTACTGCCACATGATTTCAGCATCCCCTGTCTTAGAACAGCAGTTATGACCACTTTAGAACCATGCAATCACTGAACCTATCAATCTTAACTTGTCATGTCTTAGTAGCCATGATTGACTTGACACCTAGCTATTTATCTCCAGAGAATCTTTAAATTATTCAATAAAAGTGTTTTACAGTAATGCTGATTTCAACCAGTTGAGCATTTTAAATAATTAAGGTATCATATTAAGCCAATAGTTTTGAAATGTAAGTCAGACTGAATTTAAGTTTTTACAAGGAATCAATGTCAATATGTTCCAAGTTGAAGACAAAATGAAATAAGAAAATAAGAAAACGAAATTTATGATCAAGTTATCAAAATATGAGTAAGTCATTTACAGAATATACAGATTTCCTTCAATATTGTGGCAGCAAGGTCTGCACTCCCGTTAGAATCTTTTCTCCAACATCTACAAGAATTAAAAAATAAGCTGATATTAATTCTGTTCCTAATTCCAGCAAGAAGTAATACTTATGTAATGCAAGTCTGAACAGAATAGGAAGACTTTATCTTTACAGCTAAGAAAGCTTCTTCTCAAGTAACACCTTAGTAAAACTGGGATTCTAAGACTACTCACTGGAAAGTTTCAGCTAATTAAGAGGTCTGATTATCCTGAACTAGCAAATACAGCCTTCAAATTATTAAAAATGTGTAACATAGTTTTACAAGTAGCATTCTCTATGTTCTACTAATACAGTTCATATTCTTTGCAGTCTTCAACTGTGCTGTTTCTGCTGTTTTAATTCTGATATAAACTCTATCACTGAATATTACAAGAATGTCTAAACCCTTAGAATGTTTTTCATTTTCTTACAGTGTCTTCTTGAATACACAGATTTATATTTTAATCTAAAATCTTTTATGACACAACTTTGCTTTTTAAATAAATCCCTAAGTAAGTAAGTTAAGTCCCCAACACAATAAGGAAACATTTACGGAGTGCTTACTCTATGACAGCAACCCCTGAGTCTAACAATTAGGTAGAAGTAACTCATTTAATCCTCATATGAATCCACGGGGGCAGGTACTGTTACTCGCAGATGAGGAAGCCAAGGCATGAAGAAGTAGCCTGATGGTTTGAAGATATTCCCTAGATATTTTTACAGACCTTTTGGCTTTAGGTCTAAAATTTATCAGGAATTTGTTTTTGTTTAAGGGGTAAGATAGCAATCTAAACATCTCCTATAAGGATAGCCTATTTTATCAGCACCATTTATTAATTGTTTCCTTAATAATTCACAATGCCACTCCTGTCACACATCAAATCCCTGTAAGCAAGCAACTGATTGTGGGCTCTACATACTGTTTATTGGTGTTCTTGTTCTTACCTATACCAATACCACAGTTTTACTTACTATTGCTTTCTAGTAAGTTTCAGTATCTTTAGGGTGAGCCCCCCTCTTTATTTTTCAAATTTATTTTAAGTTTAGCTTGTCAAGTACCACCAAAACCCTACTGGATTCTGACTGAAGGTGGCAATGAGTTTAATTTGTGGAGAACCAACCAATTACAATGTTCAGTATTCCTATTTATGAAAATGAGATTTTTTATTTATTCTGGACTTAATATTCACCAGTAAGTTGTTTAATTTCCTCCATACAATTAACATCTTGTTAAATTTTTTATTCTTCAGGTACCAGATTTTATTATGAATGGGATGTTTATTTTTAAGAAGTTAATAATTCGGTCATCAAAAAAAAAACTATTGAACACCTTTGGGCCACCCATCCAGCTCAATCAACTATTAAGCATCTTGTATTAAGTATTTGATCAGATGTAAGAATTAAGACATGATACACAGGGAAGGCAGTACAGCATGGTGAAAACAAGTAATGACTCCACAACATCTTACTACGCTGATGGACAGTGATTGCAATGGGGTAGGGGTGGGGGGACTTGATAATATGAATGTTGAACCCACAATGTTGCTCATAAGATTGTGTATCAATGATACCTTGAAAAAAAAAAAGGAATTAAGACATGATAGATGCATATAGCTTAAGTTCCCTAGGTGTAACTTTCTCATTCTATTCCCTCTTGATTCTGAGATAATCACTATCCTGATTTTCCTGTATGATCATTTAAAGATTTTTGCATACTGTATCCATATAATAGAATTTTTATAAATTTATATGAAACTTTAATATTGTCATGTTTTTTTTTCACTCAGTATTGTAATTATCCATGCTGATACACACATGATCCTCAACTCCAGTGCAGCCATTTTTGCCTATCATACAGCATTCCATAATGACTCTATCACAGTTCACTGTCCACTTTCCTGACTACTATTTGTTTCCAATCTTCCTCTCTTACAAGCTGCCATGAGTGTCTGGCATCAATATTTTTGTAAATATGTGAGAGCTCTTCAAGGGCAGAAACTTTTCAAACTTTTTAATGAAGAAAAGCAGCCCCACAGTAAGAAATATATTTTATACTGCAACCTCTCACTCACACCACACAGTCTCCTTCTCTCTTAAAACAGACATTTCACCATGTTATTCTCTGCTGTTTCTCCAAATTGAGAGTTGTGAACCATTAGTGAACATCAAGTCAATTTAATTGATCCTGAGAAGTATCTTTTAAAAAGAAAAAAACAGAAAGCAGAAAAAGATTGATAATAGAGAAAATATAAGAGAATATAGGAAACAGCATACATTTATTTATTTTAAAATCTTTAATTCAGTTTTTGTCACATGTAAAATGTATTTCCCACAATGGGTCTGTAAAAAAATCATATGAAAGGCACTGCCTTAGGACATATACAAAGGAGTGGAAATGCTGCATAGTAGGACATGCACATGTGATTTTTATATACTGTCTCCCTATAATAGAACTTTCTAATTTTATATGAAACTTTAATACTGTCATTTGGTTTTTTATGAAATACTGTCAACACGGGTTATACCAACTGCCATTCCCACCAGGGAAGTATGAGTTGCTATTTTACCCACTATCACCAAGACTTGTCATTATCTGGTCCCTCGAAATTTAGCCAAAAGAAAGGGAGCGACATAAAGAGCTGCTGTTCTGCACATCCCTGATTACCAAGAAGCTTGAGAATATTTTCATGTTTATTGACTTTTCAGGGTTCTATTCCTTTGAATCATTTGTTCACATTCACCACATTTGTCTT